AATAAATAAATAAATAAATAAATAAATAAATAAATAAATAAAATTAACCTGGGTTCGATCCTCAGCTCAAATAAATAAATAAATAAATAAATAAAATTAACCTGGAGTCAGAACTCCGGAGAACTGACAAATTAGCAGAATCCCAAAACAAGACTAAAGGATGAGAACAGCCTTTTAAGAAAAAAATTAAGTCAGACAGGCATGCTGCTGCACACCTTTAGTCCCAACACTCAAGGCAGAGACATGGCAGATACCAGACTGTGAAGCCAGCCCAGTCTCCATAGTGAGATTTTGCTTCACATAATCACTCAAGACAACTCAAAAAAAAATTATTTAACACTACATATGGTTTAGAAAGATACTATATGTCTGAGAACAGTGTCAGAGTGGCCAACGTGAATACACTTGTGAATTTACCAGATCTTAGACAGTGAAAACTGGACGTGTAAGCGAACTTCGTGACCTAGAAAAGAGGCAGTTAGAGTGTAAGGCGTTGGCAGCAACTCTTGCATAGAACAAGAATATACTTCGTATGGGCTGGGGTGACGGCTCAAGCCTGGAGTTTGGGGCCCCAGAACCCACGTAATGTCAGGTGGGCATGGCAGTCCTCTTATAAGATGGAGGTGGAATTTCCAGAACAGTCCAGCCATCAGAACTGCTGAGTCCCAGACCCCTGTCATAAAGCCACCTCGGACCACACCTTACACCAGTCTCTGGCCTCCACATGTGCACAGCTGGGCACCTGCACCATCACATGTGAGTTGTGCCTAAACAACCCACAAAGGGATCTACATCCACTCGGCACATAGACAAATCTGTTGATACAGGATCGGACATGACAAATCCTTTTTCCAAGGAGTCTGCTAGAAGACATGCTGTGACCTCTAGACGTTGTGGACTAGATTCCAAAGACAGTGGGTATCTATCAGATCTGTGGGTACAGCAGTGTTCACAAAGGATGGTATAGCACTTAGCGTTTTGTGATTTGGGGTGGTGAGAGGTGGGTTTTTTGTTTGATTTTGGTTTTGTTCTAGACAGGGTTTCTTTGTGTAGCCCAGGCTGGCCTTGAGCTAGAACATCTGCCTGCCTCTGCCTCCCTGGTGCTGGGATTAAAGGTATACGCCACCAAAGAATGTTTTTTGGCATGCAGTTGAGGGCAGCCTCACACTCCTGAAACCCCCCGGCCCCAGAGCTGAGATTGTGGGCCTGCGTCATCAGGCTCAGCCGCTGTTTATGAGTTTTAAATCTGTCTTTAGTGTTGTGTCATAGTAGCCTGATAAACTACAGAGGACACTCAAAGTTAGTGGAATAGGAATAGCTTAGAAGAGAGCTGTTAGAAGAACCATGTTTTCTACCCTGCAGAACCAGACAGGATTTTTACTGTACAGTCAGTATAACAAGTGAGAGAAGTTGAAGTCACCACGAAGTTGTGTGCGATTCCATGTTTGAAATGTCCAGACCAAGCCAATGTATACAGAGAAAAAACGGAGGTGGGGGAATGTAACATGAGTTCTAAATGGTCTTGTAATAAAAACCTGGAGCCAGATATTGGGGTAAATACTGAAAGATCAGAGTCAAAGGAAGAAGCCACAGCCACTTCTCACCTCACCAACTCCACAAATCCTCTGACTAAATGCCGCTGAGTCCTCAGCTGAAAGGAGTCTGAACTCCGCCCAGCCTTTTCACTTCCTATCTCAACCTTCTCAGTGCTGGGATTAATGGCCTGTGTGCTTCCCAAATACTGGGAGCAAAGGCATGAGATCCAATGTGTTGAGATTAAAGGTGTGCTCCACCACTGCCTGGCTGTTTCTCCCTTGGACTGGATTAATCTTGTGTAGTCTAGAGTGGCCTTGAACTCACAGAGATCCAGACGGATCTCGGCCTCTGCCTCCAGAGTGCTAGGATTAAAGGTGTGTGCCACCAATGCCTGACCTCTATGTTTAACTCTCTGGCTGGCTCTGTCTTCTGACCTTCATGCAAGTTTTATTAGAGTACAACAAAATATCACCATTGTGTGTGTTGGGGGGGGCGGGGTTAGAGGCCCATAGCAGAGGGATTGAGTTCTCTTCAGCTGGTAATGAAAACATTTCTAAGTTGTACGAACCAGGGGTGGTGGAGCTAGGAGGATCAGAAATTCAGTTGTCCTCTGCTCCATGGTGAGCTCAAGGCTAGCCTGGAACATGAGACCCTGCCTCAAAAAATGATAAATGTTGGGTGAGAATGTTTTAAGTTGTGATGACTGTGCAATGCTATGACTAAGCCATTGAGTTAAAACTAAAGTGTTTAATAACTATATAAAACATACACTTCAAGTTAGTGCATTGCATGATATGAAATATATATCTCAAAGCTGTTTTTTAAATCTTTTTTTTTTTTTTTTTGGTTTTTTCGAGACAGGGTTTCTCTGCATAGCTTTGCACCTTTCCTGGAGCTCACTTGGTAGCCCAGGCTGGCCTCGAACTCACAGAGATCCGCCTGGCTCTGTCTCCCAAGTGCTG